GTTGTTGTTTTTTTTTTACTTCTGACAATGCTTTCGATGACCAAAAATGGACATGATACCGCTGATATCAGTATTCCCCTTGAGTCAAAAATCGATCTGTTCGAAAATTTTTCACATAATCATGTACAGCGCCCACGGTCCCGTCTGTTTCGTTTCATTTGGACCAGCCTGTATATTAATTGTATTAAAGGCCCTAGATACCTACATAAAGAACAGCACTGTACCAATGTATTGAAAAGAGATGATATGATTTTTGCCCAAAAATGGCATCGATATGTCAGCTGCTCTGCAAAATCTCAGATATCGTTAAAGAATTTGACGTGGTTAGTTAGTTGTTAGGTAGTTTCATGAATAAATCTCATTAAAAAATTGGTTATCTGCTTTATAAAAATGTCCGGTTGTTGTATATTAGGATGTAAACGCAATAGTGCAATCGGTACAAGATTATTTTGTTTACAAAGTGGTGAGAAAAAAATATAATTATATAAAAAAAAATACTTTCTGCATAATGTTTAATGTCGCACCGTCATATTCTCCAATACCAAAGCCGCACTATTTATTTTAATTCAATTCATTTTTTCATAAATTCACAGTTGTAATAAATGCAAATCAAAAATAATTACGCATTGAAACATGATAGAAATCATTTCTTATAATATGTTCCAATGACAATGTGAATGTCTAACAATTAGGTACATTAATTAAATTTGATGCAATCTGAATTTCAACTGACGATGACGTTTCTGAAATAGAATTAGTTAATCTGGATTTCAGGTGATGCTTTCTGAAATAGAACTGATTAATCTGAATTACAATTTATATCATTTGAAGTCAACTTCATATTCTACAAAATACAATTGGCACTGGTGTAGACCACAATTTCAAGTTGGACTCTTACTGTTTTGAAACTGGATACCATTCAAATAATTGCAATAATTTAAAGTTGGTGGGTAGTTTTTCCAGAAAACGGCGGATGATTGCGGTACTTTATGATATATATCTAGGGACTTTAAATTGCATTAAACAACAGCACCATCTGGTGAAAATTTTGTCGAACTATTGCGTGTGTTTGTGCTTGTGTTTAGGTAGTTTCCACCTCCGACCAAAAATGCGCCAAATCATAGAAAACACCACTCACTACTCTAAAACCACGTAAAACGTTTTGACGTATTCGCCTTCGATATCGAAAGTAATGATTTAGCATTCAGAGGTGTATGAGTACTAAATGCATACACAAAAAACTTAGTACAAGTTGAAGTTGTTTGTAGAATTCCTTCAGAACTGAAATTTGAAAATTTTGAAATCGTAACAGACGCTAAACACAGAGTTTTTAATAAAATTAAAATAATCATTCAGCTTTCGACATTAATCTCAAAGATATTAATCTTAACTTGGCAATGCATCGTCATACATACAACTGTACTTTTTGTTTGCTTATAAAATTGTTTAAGCATGCATTTGTTTTACTGGAAGTTTCGTTCGACACACATATTTCTTTTTATTAATTTTATGTGATATATCTATAAGCATAAAATAACGGTACATGGTTTTATAAAATTTGAACCAACAGGGTTTCTTCTTTATTTTTGACTCTAAGGAAATTACGATATAATAATAAGATTTTTGAGCCTCAAATTCCAAAATTCATGAAACAGATTTCAATTTTTGTCTCAAAAAAAATCAATAAACAAAAAAATTACGAATTTAACAAAAAAGTGTACAAAGACATTTGCATTTTTGTAAATTGTAAATATGTTTGCTGCAGTAATAACACAAATTTTTGATGCACATCCTAAACTAGACGTAATTTTTCGTATGCACAAACAGATTTGTCCAAACATACATGCTGATTTATTGTAACATGTAGTCTGAAACCATGTTGAGCTATAACATCACGATCAACCATACTCGTATATAAAATTACTTTGACTTGATTGAAAAAATCTGTTTGTACGAACAATTTATACAAACATTTTATTATGTGTAGGGACGATTTATCTAAGCACATACAATTAACTCAAACTATTAAGTCATATTTGTTGCTACATGTAGTGCTGTAGTTATTTTGTATGTCCATTTTGTTGGTACATACAAATACAGCAAACTTGTTTTTACGTCTAAGGGGCCCCTAACAAAATAATATATTAAAATTGTCCCCAAATTCGTTAGTGAACGAACATAGCGGAACTTCGAACGCTGTAAAAAATGTTTGAAGTGAAAGATGTAAACAGAGACGAAGGACATATTATGGATGTTGCAAGTATGTATACACGCACACTGCGACGGACCTAACTGCATTCATTCATCGAATGATCGAAAATCAAAATATTGGTATTGGTTAACTTTCCTTTAATACTCGCGTTAAATCAAATTGTATAAAAAAGACAAACTTTCTCTACTACAAAATATGTAGTAAGTAATATAGAGTTCATTAAAAATTTGCTTGATGATTGCAATAAACATAGTTTACAAATGTCTATATGTAGATTATTTAATTGTTTTTTAAATTTGTAATTTTTTTTTATTGCTCTTTTTTAACACGAAATATCCATGAATTTTGAAATTACGGTCAAACAAATCTTATTATTATATAGCAGAATCAGTTTTTGTTAATTTGGTTTTTTATAAAACATGTATTTCTTTCTTGAAAGTTGAATGTGAATCAGACAATCTGTAACAAAAATGTTGTTATTTTTCTCTAAATATCAAGTAAAATATATGTATAAAATGAAGCATACAGTAAAAGAAAATGTTACAAATTGCAAAGCAACAAATTGCAGTTGTATGTATCTGTCTTATTAGATACATAGCTAAGTTAAAATAGTTGATGAACATAAAAGAAAAATGCATATCTAAAAATGCTAAAGAAAACAAATAATTACTAGCTACCTGACGATTACGCTGGAAATAGTAATATACATTTTTTTGTGGCTCTATTGTATTCCACTAAAGTTCAGAGATTATTTTGAATTTGACTACTCATCAGTTTTGTTTATGTGGTTATCAAGTTATTTGTCTCGAATACTTATAAGATACAAGTAAATGAATAATTTGTTTTCTATTTATCATGGCTACTCTTCTTTATCTGTCTGTCCGACAAAGGTTGTAATTATTTTAATGCAACACCTACTCATCAATATGTCAAAAACTTTAAAATGTAAATTTAATCATTTTGCCCTAAAATGAATTTGTTTCCAAATAGAAATAAATGGGTACATTGTCGTTAAAATGTTCTTGTTGTACCTACTAACTTTAAAGAAATCGAATTTGCAAAATATTTAGTGGGACTTTAAAACACTGAAATATTTTGCTCGTAGTTTTAAAATTAAAACAAAAAGAAATAAATGATTGAACGAATATTACTGAGAACCTTATTGTGTTGTTGTGTTATTGTTAAAAAAAAAATTCCCGATGTTAATGTCATACATTGTATGTACGTGTATTGAATCGTCACATAAGTATTCATTTAAAATATTTAAAAATTCATACCAGTAGATTATGATGTTTCGCAAAACATAAAAATATCTACATTTGCTGCAAAAATCTATTGCATGACCATATTCCAACTGTATTGTAAATTTAAAAAATTTTTTTAGTATCAAACATAATTAAATAACTAGGTATTTCTTAATACAACAAAAAAAATGTTGCATGCCAAAATCAAGTGAAATATGTGAGATATAAATAAAAGTTTGCCAGTTAACATATATACCAATAATGTTCATTTTCTCGTTATAAAACCCTACCAAATAATAGATGGGCGGCAAAAGTAAGTTTGTACACATCCGGCCGAACTCCTCAGCAAGGCTTCCACCCTGCAGTGTGGTGGCGTTCTTCAAACCCATAGATCTGGTAACAGCGCTTTAGATTTACTCCACCGGTACATGTCACAGTCTACATATATACGAAAACCAGCTGGTGCTATGTAACAGGAGGTAGAATCATTTCAAACACATTTTCAACTTTTGCATAATAAAAATATAGTAATATATCTAATAATAAATTCTTGTTTAGCTTCAAAATAAATAAATAAAACTTGTGTATGTGTCGCGTCGCCGCCGCCATCGCCCGCCGCCGCCCTCGTGCCGTTCGCCCGGATCCCGCCGCCGCCGCCCGCGTCCCGTCGCCGCCGCCCATGTCCCGCCGCCGCCCGCGTCCCGCCGCCACCCGCCCTCCCGCCGCGTTCGCGTACCGCTAGGATTTCAGAAGGTGAAAGCGCTAGCATTTAGACCAGCAATGGACCAGCGAAGATTTATGACCCGCTTGGATTTGAGACCCGCTAGGATTTACCACACCTCGAATACTTAAGGACCGCTACTAATTAAGGGTAATTAATTATCGATTAAATCTCATTTAATATTCACGCTAATGATTAAAACCCTCTAATAATTAATTCCCCATTCTAAAAAAGTATACAAAATTGCAATTGCCATTGTATCGTGCTTGTGCCCCTTTATAGGTGTTCCGAATAATCATTTAAGAAGTGAAAGCGCTAGTCTTTTAAACCCGCTAGTATTTTACACCGCTTGGATTTACACGCACCCCGAATAACCCTTGAGCGAGGGAAGTATCGGCATTTATGACCGCTAGGATTTCGGAAGGTGAAAGCGCTAGCATTTTGACCAGCAATGGACCAGCGAAGAATTACGACCCGCTTGGATTTGAGACCCGCTAGGATTTACCATACCTCGAATACTTAAGGACCGCTACTAATTAAGGGTAATTAATTATCGATTAAATCTCATTTAATATTCACGATAATGATTAAACCCTCTAATAAATTAATTCCCGAATCTAATTAAGGCCTAAACACACTTATTAAACATATTCCCATAATTAAAATCGAATTTAATCGATAATTAATTATGCATTAATTAACTCTAATTACTAGCGGTCCTTAATTACTAGCGGGTCTCAAATCCTAGCGGTTTTTTCAAGGTCGCTCAAATCCTAGCGGTTTTTCAAGGTCACACTAATGGGTCGCTGTTACTACTGTCGTGGGTGTATGGAGGTTCGGCCTAGTACTTTATTGTAAGAAATTTAAGACCATTAAAGTGTTAAAAACATTACAACCTGTTTTCTTTACTCTCTTTTGTTCGTGTTTAGTAAAATATATAGGTTATTTCGACAGAACTTTCCTCGCCCCTGAAGCGACCCACCAAATTGTGCTTGTTTGAAAAATCATAAAAAAATTTTGGGATTTTTGTTCTCTGATAACCTCTATAAAGTAAAAACCAGTGATTTGCAATTTTTTGAGCTGTTAAGTTTAAATTTTTCAGTTTTTTTTTCAATTTTCCAACTTTTGACTTTTCAATTTTTAGATTTTGCAATTTTTCGTAACGGTTTTTTATTTTCTTTATTTTTTAAATGAATCGACTTTTCAATGGTTCCATTTTATAATTTTTTGTTTTTTTAATTTGAATCTTTTCATTTTCTCGTTTCTTCAATTTTTCCCTTTGCGATTTTTCAATTTTTCATTCATTTTCGTCACCTTTTAGATTTTGCAGTTTTTCGGTTTAAAATTTCTCGAGTTTTAAATTTTTTATTTTTCAGTTTTTCGATTTTTTCTTCAAATTTTCGATTTTCAATATTTCGTTTCGGTTTATTATGTTTTTGTTTTCAATTTTTCGGCTTTTCAATTTCTGATCTCATAATTTTTCTTTTTTTCAATGTGATATTTTTCAACTTTTGGAATTTTCAGTTTTTCATTTCTTCAAATTTCAGTTTGCAATTTTTCTATTTTTCATTTTAAATATGTAATTATGATAATAATAATCATCTCACTTTTCAATTTTACGCTTTCAGAATTTTTCCATTTTTCAGTTACTGGATTTTTTAAAACTTATTAGACTATTCGACTTTTCAATTTTTCATTTCTATTTACCATCTGCAACTTTTCGTTTCAGTTCTTTATTTTCTGAAATTTTTCAATTTTTTGTTTTTCAAAGTTCTGATTTTATAATTTTTCATTTTGAATGTGAAATTTTTCAATTTTTAGATTTTTCAATTTTTCGTTTCTCCAATTTTTATTTTTTTTAAATTTTCATTTTAATGTAATAATAACCAAAAAGTTAAAAAACTGTGTCTTTGTTCAATTTAAAAATTTTAGACTTTTTCCATTTTTCAGTTATTGGATTTTAAAACTTGTTCGATTATTCCCTTTCAATTTCTCATTTCTATTTTTGATCTGCTACTTTTCGTTTTTCAATGTTCTGATTTTATCATTTTTCTGTTTGCAATGTCAAATTTTCCAATTTTTCAATTTTTCTTATTCTCAACTTTTTATTTTTTTTTAGTTTTCATCATTTTAATGTAAAAATAACTAAAAATAAAAAAAAACTTTTTCTTCTTCGATATAACAATTTTATAATTTTTCTGATTAATAGACTTTCAATTTTTCACTTCTATTTTCGATCTGCAACTTTTCGTTTTTCAATCTTCTGATTTTATCATTTTTCTGTTTGCAATGTCAAATTTTCCAATTTTTGAATTTTTCAATTTTTCTTATTCTCAATTTTTGATTTTTTTAGTTTTCATCATTTTAATGTAAAAATAACTAAAAATTAAAAAAAAAATTTTTTCTTCTTCGATATAACAATTTTACAATTTTTCTGTTTAATAGACTTTCAATTTTTCGATTTTTAATTTTTCAGTTCCTTTTCAGAATTTTTGGGTTTTCATCAGTTTTTTCAATTTTTAAGTTCCTCGATTTTCAATGTTTCAATTTTTAGTTTTTCGATTTTTCAACAAAGATGAAAAAATTGCAAAATTGTAAAACCGTAAAATTGAAAAAACGAAGAAGTATAAAATGAAAAATTTGAAAAATCTAAAAATTGGAAATCAAAACATGGAAAACTGAATATAAGAAAAATTCAAAAATCGAAAGATTAAAACTTTCAAATCGAAAAAGATTGCGATTACATTGTGTACATTCTATTTATATTACAAAATAATAAGATTGGCAGAAAAATACGTACTATGAAAGATTAATCTGACAAGATTACGATCGAAACAAATACTTCAATTAAATTAAAATATTTCAACACATTTTAAAAACACTCAAATTATGTCAATCCCAGATTTTCTCTGATGAAACCTGCTTTTCACTGCAATATTTATATATTTTGATGATGAAACCGATTATTTTTAAAATCTAAAAATTGGAAAATCAGATAATTGTAAAATCGAAAAAAAACACAAAATTTAAAAATCCATAAACTGCGAAATTATCACATTGAAAAAACAAAAACTTGATAAAATGAAACTGAAAATTGTGAAAAATTACAAATCAACAAACTGGAAAGTCGAAACAATGAAATTCGGGTAATTGAAAAATCAAATTTGAACAACTCAAAAAACGAGGAATTATAAAATTGAAAATTGAAAAATTGGAAGGATACTTTCAAAAACGGAAAATTGTATGTAGATAATGAAGCTTGAAGAATTTTAATGGAAACCTTGAAAATAAAAATTAGAAAACTGAAAAATTGTAAAATTAAAAAATTGAAAAATTGCTTAATTGTAAGCTCGCAAGATTTATTAAACTGTAAAAAGGAAAAATTAATAAATTAGTAAATTAAAAAATCCAACAATTGAAAAATGCAAAATCGAAACTTTGAAAAATTTGATAAGTGAAACATCAAAAATTGAATAATTGAAAGGACGAAAAATTTTAAAAACGAAGAATCATAAAATTGAAAATTGATTAATTAAATACGAATAATTGACAAATTCTAAAATTGTAGAAATGGAAAATTGAAAAATCAAAAAAGTTTAAAATCGAAAAATCAAAATCAAAAACTTGAAAAAGTTTAACTGAAATTTGAACAATTAGAAATTAAAAAATTGAAAATTTGTAAAATTACAAAACTGAAAAATTAGTGAATGCAAAATCGAAAATTTTTAAATCGTAAAAATTGCAATTGTTAAATTTTTTAAATTTCAATTTCTTCAAATTTCGATTTGCAATTTTTCTAGTTTTCATTTTAATGTAATAAGTAGAATTAAAAAAAATCTTTTTCAGTTTAAGGATTTTAGAATTTTTCCAGTTTTCGGTTACTGGATTTTAACATTTTTCATTTAATCGCCTTTCACTTTTTCGGGTTTTAATTTTTCGATCTTCCAATGTTACAGTTTTTCGACTTCACAATTTTTCGATTTTAGAATTTTTGAGTTTTCCAATTTTTTCGATTCAATTCATTTTTTGTTCTTTCCAGCTTTTGGATTCATCAGTTTTTTCAACTTTTAAGTTCCTCGATTTTCAATGTTTCAATTTTTAGTTTTTCGATTTTTCAACATTTCGAATCAAAAAGATGGAAAAATTGCTAAATTGTAAAACTGTAAAATTGAAAAATCGACAATAAAAAACGAAGAAGTATAAAATGAAAAATTTGAAAAATCTAAAAATTGGAAATCAAGAACAAGAAAAACTGAAGATAAGAAAAATTCAAAATCGAAAGATTAAAACTTTAAAATCGAAAAAAATTGCGAATACATTATGTACATTCTATTTATACTACAAAGCAATCAGAAAAAAATACGTACTATGAAAGATTAGTCTGACAAGATTACAATCGAAACAAATACTTCAATTAAATTAAAATATTTCAACCAATTTTAAAAACACTCAAATTATGTCAATCCCAGATTTTCTCTGATGCAACTCGGTTTTCATTGCAATATTTATGATGATAAAACCGAAAATTGAAAAATTAATTCCTTAAAAATTGGAAAATCAGATAATTGTAAAATCGAAAAAAAACCACAAAATTTAAAAATTCATAAACTGAGAAATCGGAAAACTCAAGAATAAAAAACTGAAAAATCGACAAATTTTAAAATCGAAAAATTGAAGAGTCGAAAAATGAAAAATCGTAAAACTGAAACACTGGAAAATTGAGAAACTGAAAAATGAAAACTCGAGAAATCGAAAATTTGAATAATCGAGACATTGAAGAACCGAAAAATTGAAAAATCCTAAAATTGAAATATTGAAAAGTTGAACTGAAGTCGAAAAATTGAAAATCCAGAAACTGAAAAATCCAAAAACTGAAATATGGAAAAATTCCGAAATCGTGGGACGAAAAATTAAGAATTCGACAAGCCGAAATATCAAAAACTTGAAAAAATGCAAACGAAAATTTTGGAAAATTACAAATCAACAAACTGGAAAGTCAAAACAATGAAATTAGAGTAACTGAAAAATCAAAAATTGAGTAACTGAGAAAACAAAGAATTATAAAAATGAAAATTGAAAAATTAAAATACTATTTTAAAATGGAAAAATTGGAAGGATACTTTCCAAAACGGAAAATTGTATGTGAATCATGAAGCTTGAGGAATTTTAATGGAAACCTTGAAAATAAAAATTAGAAAATTGAAAAATTGTAAAATAAAAAATTGAAAAATTGCTTAATTATAAGCTCGCAAGATTTATTAAACTGTAAAAAGGAAAAATTAATAAATTAGTAAATTAAAAAATCCAATAATTGAAAAATAAAAAATCGAAACATGAAAAAATTCGGGAATTCCAAAACCGAAAAATTGAAAAATCGAGAAATTGGAAAATCTGATAAGTGAAACATCAAAAATTGAATAACTGAAAAGACGAAAAATTTTAAAAACGAAGGATCATAAAATTGAAAATTGAGAAATTGATTAATTAAAAACGAATAATTGACAAATTCCGAAAATTGTAGAAATGGAAAATTGAAAAATCAAAAAAGTGTAAAATCGAATGTAAAAATATTAAATCTAAAAATCAAAAACTTGAAAAATTTTAACTGAAATCTGAACATTAAAACATTGCAAATTTGTAAAATTACAAAACTGAAAAATTAGTTGAATGTAAAGTCGAAAAATTTTTAAATTGTAAAATTGCAATTGTTAAATTTTTTAAATTTCAGTTTCTTCAAATTTTCATTTGGAATTTTTCTAGTTTTCATTTTAATGTAATGACTAAGAGTTCAATTTTTCGATTTCAGAATTTTTGGATTTTCAAATTTTTCGATTGAATTCGTTTTTTCTTCTTTCCAATTTTTCGATTCATCAGTTTTTTCAATT